ATTATTAAATAATATAGGGCATTAAGTTTTAAGTAACATTTACCTATATTTGAGTTTAAAGTAAACAAATCTATTTTATTTTGTTCACTTTGTCTTATTTTTTTTATTTAATATTATTTCAGTTGCCATCGTCATCGCGTGAGTGTCATGATTGCGAAGGATTGATAAAGCAGCAACACGTTAAACTTTAGAACGGGAACCATCTGAATCATCTAGTCCATCCTTGTAGCAATCTAAAGTGAGTAATGTATTGAACCTAGAACAACAAAGCTTAAATCGTACATCATACAATATACTGCTGCCTAATTTTGTAAGAGCACCACTCACACAAAATCAATGTTTTTTCCTGGTTGTAACAATTCCAATCAACTCACTGTTCCATCAGCATTGCGGGTATGTATTTTTGTGAATACAATTACTATGTACCTCCAGAATGTAGAATCAGTAACTACCATTTAAATAGTAACTCTTGGTATTTACTTTTAGAATTAATATATAACCATATTAAAACATTTAGTGTAGCACAAATTATAGATTTTTCTACATTATTGTAAGATAATATTTACCATCATATAGACTTTGAAAATATTTACAATATGCCCGAATATACTGTACATTATTATCTACGCTTATCAAAGGCACAATGCCAATAAATTCTGTCTGAAGTGCCCAAAATGTCAAGTAAACATAGTGGATGCTTTGCACTTGCTGTATATTTGATAAAAGTAAGAACAGGAGATAGTGATGAATGCATATAGGCATTATTGCAAGTACCAAGAAACAAATTAGAGCGGCTCATGAATATGGCCCAAGAAATATTAAATCGGGATGTTGTTCCTATGAATTTTATCCATCGTTACCACTCTCTGTGCCAAATTCTATTCAGTAATTATGATATTATATCTGAGGCAAATAATTTCTTAGCTTTCCTAGATGTTTTTGTTATCCAAAATCCTAACAACATCATAGGTCACACTGTGTATAGAAAAAAGACCCATACAAACTGATATTTAAGCGGTGAATCTCACCATAATCCTTCACAGTTAGTTACCATGAGCAAATCTTTGTTACAGAGAGCATATGGGATCTGTGAGAACAAGCACCTGGCCGCGGAGCTTCAGCACGTCAAGCAGGTTCTGCACAAAATCAAGCTTCGGGTCCCACGTCTTCGTCACAGTGACCGAGTGAAGCCGACCGCAGTTGAGCGTGTGCCTGCTGTACTACCGTATGTCAAGGGTGTCACCCCAACCAGATAGACATACATCAGATTTGATAGACCACAAATCCTCGTTAAAGAACATTAATTCCTACCAAGGATGATATGTGAGGCTACTGAAATTAAAAAACATCCTAATTTCAGTAGAGAAGGCGGTTGGGTACTGCCACCTGCTTGGGACACTATAATTAATAAAATTAAAACAAACCCCAAGCATACCACTGCAAGACTTAAAGATAGAGTAAGTTCAATCTGCGTAGATTGGACTATAAAAATAATAATAAAAAGCTGAAGGTACTCCATGTCCCAATACTGACATTGGGATGGCAGTCACCTCAGTACCCCGTGACCATGGGTGCTATAAAGCACCTGAAACGTCAGGAATTAATAATAATAGTATAATAATAATATAGCCATTTATTTCCGAACTTTGGGGTTACATAATATTTGTGTTTGAGTTCCTATTGTAATACTAGTTAAAGTAAGTCCCTCTGTTCGGTGTGCCTTTTGGCATAGGCCTCCAAAAGAAAAATCACGCGTCGGGAATTAAAAGTTAAAGAAATTAAAAGCAATAAAATTGGTAAAAGTAGTCGTTAAAAAGCTGTATTTGTGAAAATAAAAAGCTTTATATCATAAAAATCCCGACTTTTTTTAAACCAATTCCTTAACCATTTCATTATTTTAATTGCATATTATCATTTCCTTTTATATGTGGTATTCCTTTCATATGCTTTTATATGTGGGCACCCATGGCCGAAGTGTCTATGAACAGTGGGCATCCCCCTTTGTCTTCAATAGTATACACGGATGCACTCCTCACTGCTTACTACGGCTTAGCAGAATCCCACCTCCGATATGGAATAATATTTTGTGGTAACTCAATCGAAAAAGAATCAGCGTTTAAGGTTCAAAAAAGATGCATAAGGGCGATGTTTAAGCTCAAAACTACCGATAGTTGCATAGCATATTTTAAACAGTATAAAATACTGACATTACCTTGCTTATACATACTAGAAGTAGCAGTGTTTGTTAAATTGCATCCGAAACGTTTTAAACGCCTTGACCAAATAGTTCCACGTAATAGACGCGACAATACCCTTTTATGTCATCAATCCGCTAAGACAGCACTAATGCGCAAAAGTATATACTGCATGGCTCCAGTCATATATGATAAAATACCAAAAAGTTGGAAAGAATTGCCGCTATGAATATTTAAAAAAGGCTTCGTAGCTTCTTGACAGTCAAAGCATACTATAGCGTAACAGAATTCTTGACTGAAAAATTTTTTTCATTTTGAGATTAAGACGGTATAATGTTAAAAATATGAATTATGTTTGTTTTTGTGTTATTATTTTATTTTGTTATAGCTATTTAGGTGATTAGTTTATATTTCTGTTATATTTTGCATGCCTACTGGTAAAATATGGCTGAACTCACTACCTATATTTCCATGTACTGTACCCATATTTGCAAAATAAAATATCTTTACCTTTATCTTTATCTTTAGATATTAGAAACATAAAACTATAATTAGCTACATGTATAAAAAATGTGATCAAATCATCTAAGCATAATAAATCTAATATCTCAACTCTAGCACATCCTTATCGCGTCATCGACAATCAGTCCACTGGGCGCCGTGGTCACGGATAGACGACACCCTGATGACGTCATAAGTGATTAGCGGGAAAAGAAGTGCAGTGCAACATGAACAATTCCTCGGAACTCATTCGCATTTCGGAAAGCGTCGATGATGATGAATTTCTTTATTTTAATAATATAAAGTTACAAATAATAAATGGGTTTTTTTAACTTAAGTTATGAAGAGCAATTTTTCATTTTGTGTTGTGCGATTTTCTTTCTAAATCTCAAAATCATCTGGCAGCATCATATCAAACCCCCATTGTCTTAAGAGCGTAAGACTTTTCTTCTGTGCTTCACTTGGCCTACGCCTCCCTCAACACATAAAATATTTTGATTCGATCTCTGTATATTTTGGTTAGATCGATTTCGAAATCGATTCACAACGTGCGACACGGCTACATCTCTAAGAAAGTTTAGTTAGCGATGGTGGAGTTAGATTCAAGCAGGGTGCAGTTTTTTTAAATTATAAGAAGTACCGAATTGTAAGTATCTGAAGAGATATCAACGTTATAAGATGCGCGATATTTACCTATTTTATATTCATAAACTACGGGGTGCGGTTTAAATAATAAACATTTATATCTATATCTCAAATTCGTAGGCTGGGGTAGGCTAGCTGGTCAGCTACGCCGTTGTCGTCCAGTCGTGAGAGTGACGTCATCACGATGGAGACTAGTGCTGTGGATTACTACTATTTTATTGCTATTGTTTTTATCTTTATTTATATCAAAAAATTACATATATAAAAAGAGTGGAAGGCAGCACAAGATTAAATAAAACATACCAGATTATAAAGAGTCATTTATTGCATAAAAAACAACAAAATCAAGTTATTTTGTGTTATCGATATATCAACTCTTGGCAACACTATTTATTTCATAGGTATTTTTGTTTACTTTTCGCTTTGGCGTAAAGGACACGGTAATGCGTTTTTGGCGTAACGCTCAAAAGTTTAACTGATAAACTGTTATCCTTACACCAGTTATTTATGGTGTTTAGGGCTCTTTGTATTATTAACGATAAATTACTTTGGCAAAAGCCCCTCACAATGATCACAAGGTTATCAGCATAACCTAGTGTGTCAATGCGTAGGTGTGTCATTTTGTGCAATAGTTGGTCAACCGCAAGAGTACATAGAAGATGTTACAAAACACCTCCTTGTGGGCAGCCTCTTGTAGTTGCAACCTCAATCGAAGTTTGGAACAGCGCTATATTTGCCTTCTGTTTGGAGCATCGACTTCACCCATCTGATGGTTGTGGGGTCAACATTTTTAGATGTCAGGCCCATAATCAGCAGTGATGTGAGGCTAATGTCGAAGGCGCCTTCAATATCTAGAAAGGCACAAAGAGCTATTTCTTTATCCTCCAGTGCTTTTTCGACCCTGTCAATGACACCGATCAGGGCTGTTTCCATAGATTTGCCTCTGCGGTAAGCATGCTGGTTGTAATGTATGGGCCTCGTAGCTAGAGCTACATCCCTTATATATCTATCTATAATCTTTTCCAATGTCTTAAGGAGAAAGAAAAAAAAACTACCTTGAGATCGTAGTCAATGTTATTACCTTACATTAAATTAGCGTAGGTCTCTAGACTGCCATCAAAAAGTTCCTAGTTTCAAATAAATTCAGTAAAAAAAATCCCCAAATGTCGCTAAATATAATTTTATTAAAAAAACGCGAAACAAAGAAAAATTGAACTTCTTCTTCTTTGCCCTCGCCTCTTCCCGATACGCGGGGTCGGCTTTCTTCATCCTTCGGCGCCATTCAATTCACAGGTAAGCATCATCTTCTGTAAGGCCGAGCTTTAGCATGTCCTTCCGAACATTTGTTAACCAGGTAGTTTGCAGTCTACCTGTCCCGCTCCTCTTTGTAGCCATGGAAAGGCACTTTTTCACGACATGGTCATCGGGTCTACGCATAACATGTCCATACCACATTAGGACTCTGTAATTTTATTAGTGATAGGCGTTACTTTGAAACTCCCCCTTACGTGTTCGTTACGCACTTTGTCTTTGAGAGTGACTCCACCCGCCCAACGTAATATGCACATTTCAGTGGCATGAAGTTTTCGCTCATAGATTTTCGTCGAAGCCCACGTTTCGCTACCATAGAGTAGCCTAGAGACAGGCCTCACAGCTGTTTTATAGACCTTGGCTTTGGTTCTTATCGGCATTTTTGGATTGCAGAGGACTCCTGTTAATGTACTTATGCCACCCAGACATCTTTCTGTACGTAATGTCGGCTGTTATCGATCCATCTTCCGTGATTATTGATCCGAGGTATTTAAATTTATTTACTCTTGGTAAGGCTATGCCATCCAATTTGACTTCCGCGACTGATGGTACAGTTTCGTCGGGGTTGAAGTTGCATACCATGCACTCTGTCTTGGTTCTGCTTATGCGTAATCCGTTTAACTCTAGAGATTTCCTATATTGCTCCATGTTTTCTTGTATCTCGATTACACTGCCTGAGATGAGTGCAACATCATTCGCATATAAAAGGTTCCATGGTGTGGGTTTCCATATTTTCTCGGTTAGGTAGTTCATGGTGATATTAAATAGCAAGGGACTTAGTGCGCTTCCTTGATGAACTCCTAATTTGATATCGAAGCTCTCCGACGGGCCGGCTGGACTTCTAACACAGCTTTGTACATTATGATACATGCCCATAATCAGTTTCATATAGTGCTCAGAGACATTTTGGGCTCTCAAAGCTTCATCATCATTATCATCACATTTACTCGGTGCCCCATACATGGCTAAAAAGGGTTCTCGAGCTGCACAAAATTGACTGTACAGTTAGAGACTACTTCGGGCAGTGTATGGAGCAGTGGAGTACGATCCTTTGTCATCTGGGCGAGCGGATGATGGCTGCGGAAAGCCACTTAAGGATAAGAAGGGGTATATTCCAGGGCGAATGTCTGAGTCCAATCTGGTTCTGCCCCTCTTTGAATCCTCTCAGTACTTTACTGGAGGGCTCCGGGAGGGGATTTCAGCTTCGGAAAGGAGGTACAAAAGTGACCCACCTTTTTTATATGAATGACCTCGAGTTATTCGCCTCCAGTCGCTCCCATCTTGTGGAATTGCTAAACATCACTTGTGAATTTAGCAATTCTATTGGAATGGAGCTGTGGACGGATAAGTATGCGGTCCTCCATGTTGAAAGAGGAAGCGTTTCTAACTCTGAGTGCACAGACTTATTTATGCCCATCAACTTGAGGACCCTTTCCGAGGCTGAAACATACCGATACCTGGGTATGTCACAGAACATCGGTGTCGATGAGGCTGGTATGAAACTGTCAGTTTGCGACGTGTTTTATGCACGCTTGACCAAAGTGCTTAACAGCCTTTTGTCCGATGTGAATAAGACACGCATATAACGGTTGGGTCATGCTTGTCCTCATGTATACCTTTGGCATACTTAGGTGGACTCAGACTGAACTTAACGCCCTGGATAGAAAAGTCCGCACTACCATGACGTCCCATAGGATGCATCATCCGAGATCGTCGGTAATGAGGCTGTACTTGCCACTGATGCATGGTGGGCGTGGCTTACTGAGCGCGTTCACCATGTATAATCGCGAAGTGTGCAGCCTCCGTTATTTCTTCCTGGTGAGATCGGATGATCCATTCTATAATGACGTCATTTCTAGTGATAAAGGGCTTACGCCTCTATCCTTAGCCAACGAGCAATTGCAAGACACAGCAATACAAAGCATTTCCGACCGAAAGACCGTATGGAAGGAGAAGAAGCTCAACAGGAGGTACTACAGGGCTCTACATGAGCTCTTCGTAGATTCACTCGCCTCCCTCGACTGACTACGTTTCGGTGATCTATTCGAGGAAACCGAAGGTTTTTTCTGTACAATACAGGATCAGGTTATTAACGCCCGAAATTAATAATCAATCCTGATCTAATTTTTGCTATCCTAGATTGGTATTTTAATCCATTTTATGGGTAAAGCGTGCCAATAAACGATCCATGCATTAAATTTGCTATCTTTAAAATCAATTTATCCTATGGACTCTATAGTATAGAGGGCGGATCACAGAATAATGATTGGCCTTCTGTTCGAAAATGACAGTTTGTGCATGACCTAACCTATCTGATATCTGTCCATTTTGACATTTGTTTTGACCGATGTAAACGATCGCAGATATTGCAATCGAAGAAAATACCTGGGATTTCGTCACAGCGTTGATTTTACTAAAGAATGAAAATGGAAATATCGATATTTTCTAGTGTTGATAGTGATTTGGATGTGCTGGCTCAGTTATCCGATTGGGATACTGATAGCGACGCTGAGGATAGACACCGCGCTTCTTCACGAAAAATTAGAAGAGTTAACTACATGCAGAGCCTGGATGATGCCGAATTCACGTTTAGATTTAGGTTATCCAAACCTGCTTTCACATCGCTTTTGATGAAATTGATGCCGTTTATTCGTGTAAACTCAACAAAGTAAATAGTTCTGAGTTCTGAGAAGATGTAAAACAGTAAATTAAACACAAAGCAATTCAATTTCAAAACATTGTATACTTAAACTTACGTAGGTATTCAGTAATGGTTTTAAATTTTCAGGAACAATGAAGTTTCACCACTCCATCAACTTTTATTAACACTACGATTTTATGCATTAGGCACGATGCTAATTTCTGTAGCTGACTTTGTTGGAGTCTATATCGACAGCTGGCAGAATAGTTCATTCATCGTTCATCATCAGCAATTGCCAACTTGTATGATGAATACATTTTAGTACACCAACAAAGTGCTGGGGTCGGCTTTAGTAATCTGCTGCACGATTTAAGCGATTATTTTAGCTTTAGTTGACAGGCAATGATGCTATTGATTACCATTTAGCTGCTTTTTATGCCGGAAATCTTTATTTTTCGAGATATCGATAGTTAAAGTTTTGAGGTTATATTGAGTTGGCTAGTTGGCTTCTTAGGGTTAATCTTAAACCAACTACACTGTTTTTAGATGTCGGAAATGCATTTTGAATTAATTACAATAAAAACAAATTTCACCAAAAATAGTGTAAAAGTCAATTTGTTCTCATATTATGAAGTAGATTTCCGATACTTGATTTTTTAATTATGTTTTCAATTTAGGAGGATTGTCAGGGTTAAGCTCGAACCATTTACACTGTTTTTGGATTTCAGAAATGCCTTTTGAATTAATTACTTACGATAAAAATAAATTTCACTTTAAATTACATATAACGAAACGCAAATATGTCAGTTTGTTTTTTTAACACAGATACACTCATAAAAAAGTTAATCACTCGGACCCAGACAATCCATTTGTGGCTGGAGATGGGACTTATATACAACAAATTGAGTTGGTATAGAGCAGTCAAGAGGTTTATCCGAAAACAAAATTATAACAATTCACGTTACATTATTTCATTTACCACTCTAGTAGCAGAGTTAAGAGCAACTAGACTTTATAGATAAAATAGGTCGAATTGGTTCTGAAACCGAATTAGCACACCCCGACTCCACGTAGTCTTGTCTGCCCTACCCCTAGAGTGTTTTTGTAAAGCCGTAGGCACGGAGGTAGAGCAGCCCCCGCCCGCTGTAGCAAATCGCAGGCACCCACCATGGGTGCCTGTGATTTGCTATGCAAGGGCAAAGTGCCGCACGTGACCATATATTCATGCGGCAGATTACTAAAAACATTCATAAAAAAGGGGGGGGGTTCCGGCACTTAATTCTTTTAGGGGGAGGTTCCTTCCCCTCCCCCCCATCTACCCATCCACTCGGCGACCAATAATTCGTGCAGCAGATTACTAAAGAATTACCAAGTGCTGAAAAATTCTATCGTATTGAAGGATTTCCTAGAGTTCTTGCCGCAATTGATTGCACTCATATAAGAATCCAATCGCCATGTGAGTATTTCCTAATATTTTATTGTGTAAATTCTTATCATAAATATCATTTATAAAACACTATTTTACCATATTAGGTATGTGGTACAGCTACGGTTTAACATCAACTACAAATGGGTTGGCTCGAAACGGGAAAAACTACACTCCCACAGAATACCAGTGTTAAATACGCTGTGTAAAATATGATAAAGAGGTATTTTATCATAGTCCTCAGGCGTGACAATGCATCTACATTTTAATCTTAAATTTAGAACTAAGGTAGCTCTATAACAGCATCTTCTTACCACCAGGTGAACTGCATGCTAGTTTTTCACTATTATTCTATATTATTCTCTTATATTATGTTTTCTTCTAGGTCATGTAATTGGCGAAGAATTTAGGAATCGTAAAGGGTACTTTTCCTTAAAGGTCCAAGCAATCTGTGATGCTAATTTGAGATTCATCAATGTGGATGCCCGTTGGCCAGGTTCGACACATGATGCCACAATATTTAACAACTCAATCCTTAGAGGTTTCTGACTGGATTAATAGTTTTGTTAGCTTTTCTTATATTTCAATGTTATAATAATTTAATTAAATATGTCTATTTACAGCACAATGTGATGCGGGTCTGTTTGGTAACTGCTGGATGCTTGGTGACAGCGCTTACCCAAACAGGCCATATTTGTTAACACCTATTATAAATCCTGTTACTGGGGCTGAAAAGCGCTATAATGAAGCACACATAAAAACTAGAAAATGTTATTGAAAGGTAACTACTTTGTTTATGTCTAACAAGTATTAGGTATTTTATTTTTAGCAGAAAAGGAGAAGGTTCTCAATTCTACCATATTATTTCATATTAATAAAAATAAAAAATCTTGTAATGATCTTCTAATATACATTCATCTTTTTCTCAGAACATTTGATGTCTGGAAGCGTCGCTTCCCTGTTGTGGCATTAACACTGCGTTTATCATGCCTAAGGTTCAGGCAATAATAATTGCTACCGCAGTGTTGCACAATATTTGTAGGAACCACAATTTAGAGGATGTTCCTTCAGAAGTGGAGCTGCCAACTGCGGAAATAAATGATGAAGTGTACTATACGGAAGTTCAAGATGTTAGTGAAAGAGCAGTCCTTATAAATAATTATTTTATATAAATTAAATACTTTTCAAATCAATGTTTGCTTTATTATACTTATATAAATTTTTTAAACTGTTTTGAAACAATAAATCAATAATGTCAAAAGTTCATGTCTCAATTTTAATCCTAAGAAAACCCCATGCTACAAAAAGAACAAGCCTACCTTAATCCAATTACTGCCCAATTTCATTTTTTTTTTCAAACATTTGAAAAGATAAAAATATAAAGGATTTATATTAACACAATTACTTCACAAAAATAGAACAATGGGTTGACTAGTGGAAAAAACCTAACAGCATTGACTTTTTATTCTTTTGTAATAGGGAATGCAATAAATGCAAATTTAACTTATTTTAATGATTATTGAATTTATACAAATATTTTAAAATATTGTTTAACTTGGTTGAAAATAAGTTAGACCTTATAATTATATGCATTATTAAAATTTAGGTGTCAACAAATAATACAGTAAAAAACAATTGTTTCCTAAAAATAACTCGGTTCAGGTTTTTAATTCATTGTATTTGTAAGTTTGACTAAGTTAAACGCCGGAATTCACTGTATGCCTATAATTTTTTTTATTTAAAAATTAAAGACTGTAAAATAGGTCAAATAGGTTTATTCAAAATAACTATAAAATTAAACAATAATATAATGGTAATGAAAACAATCATTTAGTTTTATAGGCAATAACTTTATTCTTCATTTTTATTTAGACAATGCTTTGTCAACTGGGTCAATAAGGCCATATTATATAAGCTGAAAACAATACCTACTTATTTACAAAAGGTCCTTTAATTTTATACAATTACACAATCATTTATTCAACTACCTACTACTAAGCTACAGACTAAATAAGTATTAAAGTTATTAACTACACTAGACATTATTGCTTTCTTAACCTCTCTAATTTTAATTTTAATTTCTCAGTCTCCAACATAAGCTTTTCATTTTTCAATTTAAGCTCTAAATTAAGTAATCGTATTCTAAGTTAATATTGTTTAATTTGGCATCCAAGCATTGTTTTTTCGCTGAATAATATTCAGCTGAAGTAACCTATGTACTTGTAGGTGATATTCGATGTATTAGAAAGTAAGCCAGTATTAAATAATCACTCGAATTGAACAAACGTGTTGCTCTTTCATTCCATTATAAATAATATAATTCATAACGACCCATGCCAAGCGCGCGCGTCCGGGTGCAGGCTAAAAGTGCGGACTTTGCACATTCCTGTGTGCCTCGGCAGTGAATGCAATTACGTAATAATAATGAGTAAGAATATAATTATTAACTTTGTGACTGTGTATGCGCGTGTTCATGCCAAAAAACAAAATGGGGAATAGTAATTCGAGAAATGAAGAACATGAAACGACGATTGCCCAAACTGGAGGAACCAATACTGTGGAAATAGAAGAAAAGGATTATCTATCATATAAAGATTAACAATATATTGATCACAACATTTTTAATTTTGGCATCAATAGTAGTTACGTTGTGCCAGTTCTGGCGCACTGAGTCAGAAGTGGTACAAGAGTAGTTACGTTGTACCAGTTCTGGCGCACTGAGTCAGAAGTGGTACAAGAGTAATTACGTTGTACCAGTTCTGGCGCACTGAGTCAGAAGTGGTACAAGTACGACGTTCGTCGACTCACGATCCTAAAAAAAGGAAGGTTTTGGCATGCTCTGATCACGAATCTGCGGTCCATTTTTGCGTAGGATGCACGGTTCCGGCGATGTGCAGATCAATTAACTCTTATCTAATTAATATCCGGTGAACGCCTCCACCGTCATTAGCGCCCCCATTATTCTTATCTACTTATCTATTGTTCATTGAATACCGTCATTATCTATGCTTCCTCAGCGTGGTGCTATTGTATTATACTCCTTTGTTCCTATCTACACTAATCTGACTCATCAATAAAACACATTACCTAATTTTGTTAAAATTTTTATTTACAAAATACAAAATCTTATTACTTATTATCTATAAAATAGGAGCGAAACATCTCATCCACTAAAATATCGTTGTACAATGTGTTCCCTGTAAATATACTCGTAAAATTATGCATTGAACATCCCTGAAACTTATATAGCAAATACATTAAGCAATATTCGCCACAAACTAAAGTCCACTCATTCTGAATCCTATCAACATTCTAGTTCCATCTTTTACAATTTCTTTTAAAAAATTCTAGATGATATCGTACAGGTGCCCGTCCGAATGAATCAAAATATTGACCGACGTCATTCGTATCGATATATAAAGCTACCCAATGTGACCCTGGTTTATCATCTGTATCCAAATTGCATATTATATACGTTGGTACGTGGGTGTACATGGGTAGTTTATTGGCAGCATAAACATTATTTTCTAGAGTGGGGTGAATCTTTTTCAGATGTTGTTGTACATCTAGTGTATCCATAATATTACTGCTATTAGTAGATTATTATAGTACCAACCTACTCAATGACTAATATAGGAATGATCAATTATAGTGATTTCTAAATATTAAATTGCATTCTTTGTGTTATACAAAACGTATTTGAGTCATCAATACACTGAACAAGACACGACAGGAAGGACGAAGGAATGTTGAGATAAACAACAGAATGTGAGATAAGCTTGTTGACGCATAAAGTTACTATCAATTCTACTGCAGAAATTCTTTAGATTAGAATTATTACTCACTGGTACTATATAAGACCAAGCAACTGCAGTCATGGAGTCAGTGTATGGTCGTTTGACCGCAGTGGATCTATCAATACTACGTTTGTGTTACTTCAACGCATCAAAGGCCATATATGTAAGTGTTTATTCTAATGACAAACTTACTTTTCTTTCTGTTATTTTCTTACGTGTGTATGATTTAGTGTTAACAAATTATATTTAAATATTGTGTGTGTACCGCATCTACGAATACTAGAGTAGTTAAAAAATACTTTTTTAACAATGACAGTCATTAGTTGATCATTAGTGAATGTGATTCTGTTTACTTAAATTACAGGAAGACAAGAGCAGAAGGAAGAAATGGGATGATGGGAAGTAGTTATTAACAGAACTTTATTTTAGGACAGAATTCATGTCTCGGGTTATGGAACAGGTATGTAAGTTATTAGAAATCGATAAGTTATCAACTGCATACCACCACCAATCAATCGGTTCTCTTGAGATAGCTCATAAACATTTAGGTGCGTTTCTAAGAATCAATCTAACTGCAGTCACTTTTTTTCCATAAAATTTAACATATAATATTACTGTAGATGCAATAATGGGATTTTGTTTATGTTTAGCTGTTTCAAAGATATCAGTGTTCATAAAATTCTATCATCTCATCTATAAGATCACAGTGTGAAGAAAAAGCAATTATATCCAACTTAGTAAGGAGGTTAACATACTTTAATGAGATAACTATTAACATAAGAGTCGATCTCATAAAGAAAAGATCTTACACAAATGATTATGACTGACAGTCTGATTTTCCTGTATGTGATGTGATAGCTTGCATGGACACAATTAAATAAGCCTTACATAAATAATCCTCCACAAGGTTAACTTAATAAATATTGTATTACATTTTTTTAAATTTATTATCAAAAAAAATTATAAATTTTCTATGCGGCACAGCGAAAAACCACACAGCTTTGTGTTGTGTTCCATTCCGTCTACATTATTATAATACTATTTATTACAAAAATGGGGATAACAGCTAATATTTGTTAAGGTAAAAACATTTTAATTTATACTTTATGTTAGCTTTAGTAAGTTCACTTCTAAATGTAGTATCCAGACCATTTATTAGGTGAGGTATTATGTATACGCTGATGTGCTCACCATATGTATTTTTGGATGGAATTGTTATTAATTTTTTTTTGAGTTACTTTGCTGGTCTGAATTTTGTTTGAAACTGTATGCTGTATACCTAAATTAAAGAATTGTTCCTTTAACATTTGATATTGGACTTTATCATGTATATTGAGTACCTTACAGAATTTAAATATAAAATTTTCATTTGTTTTCCCCTGAAGTTTAATTTTTATAGGTACAATCGCATTTAAAATCCTAATTCGTAGTTTATAAATGTACTGTAGGTGTGATTTGTCTGTTCGTCCGTAGCTGCTTAGCCCATAAATTATGAATGAATCAGCAAGAGCGTTATAAAGCATCATTTTGACTCGAAAGTTTAATCGCTTTCTAATAATAAACATGTTAGCCAAAAATGCTCTAAGCTTATCACATACATGATTTATATGTACGTGCCAATTGAACTTATGATCTATTATTAAGCCTAAATATTTAAAGAAAAATATAGATATACATAAATCTAAAGAAAGTAAGGAAAGTAAAAAAACAAGAAACATTAATCAGTAATAAATCAAAAATCGACAAAACAACCATTACCTGCTCTAGGTGTACCAAATGAAAGCCTCTTGGTTTTATTAGGAGTTATCAGATTTTGGTCAACTACATCCAACACTTGGTAGTCAGCGACCACAATCTCAATACCTTTTTCATTAGATAATTTTGTTGAGATTGTGGTTTCACTTGAATCCACTATTTGATCTGTCTGCACCGTCACATTTCAAATTTTTTCAACAACACCACTTATTGCAACTATATTATCAGCACCACAACAAACATCAAGCCATTTCCTTATCACCCCCAAAAGGCACAGTAAACCCACTGCCTATACTTCCTAATAGACTGGTCACCCGGTCTAATATGTCATCTGGGGGTATATAGTCGGCAGGACCACCACCAGTCTGCAATGAGAATATTAGATTTAACATTATTTTACAACATGTCATTAGGTCTTAGACTATAAAGATAAACATGTGTTAGAAATTAAGATTATCTACCTTAATTTGGTTCATCCTTATTTGGGTGCTGCGCTTGCGCGAGTTATTTTTTAAATTTTCCCACTTCGAACGCAACTGCTGTGGTGTTCTCGGACAATTCGTAGCTGTGGCATTAAACCGCTCTGCCAAACGAATCCACTCTTCAGTTTTGAGTTTGTTGTTTGTGGCATTGGTTGTTTTGGTAGTTATTCTTTTACTACCTTCTATTAGGTCAAGCAAAACCTTTGTCTCTTCTTTTGTAAGAGGTTTGCGTTTTACCTAGTAAAAGAAAATTATAATGATTAACATTAAAGTTACAAATAAGGCGGGAATAGCAAGCGTCATAAAGAAAGCACGCTAAATTAGAAACGTATTATATAAAACAATAAGTACTTACGATTTCTTAATCCATTTTACTGTAATTACTAATATATATATATATATATATATATATATATATATATATATATATATATATATATATAATATATATATATATATATATATACACAGGGTTACCTATCAAATGAACCATAAAATGCATTATGCAAATGTGGACCAATTTCGAGATATTAAGGTTTAATTATTTTTTTCAAAAATACTTGAATGAAAAGCTGGATACTTATTTATCAATACTACAGTGTGCAAAAAGTCTCATCATTTTCGAAGTAACGCTACTAAAAGTACAACTTTTTCCAAACAGAAGATAAGTACCTAATTAAAAATAAAAATGATTTGTGAAAAATAATTGTATGTGACCAATTGTGCAAATCATGTTAAAAACATCCCTACTTATCTAGCTACCCAACGAAGTATCAATTTAGCTTGTAACTTAAATAGTACAGAAAAAACTTGAAAAAAAGGGGCCAGGCAGACAAGTTCCGAGTAGCAATGTTTTGAGTAATCCCAAATAATCGCTTCTCGGAACCTTATCAACAGCTGCGGGAATGCTCGTAAAAGATTGTGCGTTTGAACTTACGCTATTGTTTACATTTAGTGTGAAATTAGAAAAAAGTTAAACAAGAAGAAACTGTATTACAGGCATCGTACACACGCGCGCATATCTCTCCCTGTTACACTTAAAGAAGTTGAGTTTCAAAGTTTTATGGCGGCGAAACCAAGACGCGGAGATTATGCAAGGAAATCATTTTCCAACGAGGAATACGCAGATATTTTTTATCTCTATGGATATTGTGCGTTACTTCGAAAATGATGCGACTTTTGGCACACTGTAGTATTGATAAATAAGTATCCAGGTTTTCATTAAGTAAAAAAAAAATGAAAATAATACAGCTGTAAGTTTTTTTTAGAAATTTTTGACACCAGACTTTTGAGATTTTTGAAAAAAATAATTAAACCTAAATATCTCGAAATTGGTCCACATTTGCATTTTTTATGGTTCGTTTGATAGGTTATGACCCCAACTATCACGCCTTGGCGGGAATACGTCGAGTTACCAGTAACCCTGTATATATTAAACTCAACACGTAATTGTTCCATTTTATATAATATTAATATAACAATTTATATAATATTTAATTATTAATTTATTTTTTATTTTATTTAATTAGTAAATTTAATTTATATAATTTTAATTTTATTTCTTTAATATATCCGTTTATTTCTTTAATTATGTAATTTTTATTCATTATTACACAATTTAATAAATTTTCTTTATTTCAAATTAATTTTCAATACTTAAATATTAAACTTAATGATATAGAATAAATTGCCTATGCTTGTGCAATTTATTTTGTTCGATTTAAGAAAAATCAAATAACACTATAATTCTAGCAAGCAAAAATAGATGGGAACAGAGATGGACGTGAAAAGGTTTACTCACAGTACGCTCGAACTCATCCTTACGCCTGGGCTAGGAAGTCTTCTTTCTTGATGTCCTGTTTCGAATTCGACAAATTTATTTCGGTTCGTAGATTTCGCGAAAGTGCAAGACGGCACCGTAAACTGCTTCACGACTACTGATTTGGGAGTCTTCTTATATGAGCGAGCTTTACACGCTAAATCCTACCAGCTGCGCCAGTCAAGATACGAAATTGACTCAGGATGTTTTTAAAAAGACTTTATTAATAAACTTATAACTATTAATGTGCGATACATTACTTATATACTATTTAATTAATCCGCGATGGATTCTAACCTAAGGCTACATGTCCGATACATGTGCGAGCCAAACTAAGACTATCCTAATTCTTATTCTAGATCTTTAAGCTAACGAACAGTTATCAGTATTCACACGAAAAACCACCCGTCTTCCAGACGCAATTCAGCAATCTACGCCCACGCTTACGCTTGAATTGTATTGGTCTCCGGTGCAGTTCCGGGAATACCGGGATGCATAACTATCGCTACGAACTGTCAAAGTTGTTCAGCAAAGTGTAGTTTGCTAAACAAAAAAACCGGCACGGAGAAAGGGACAATCACACCGCTCTGTCTCATTTTTATGTAAGACGTATGCATAAATCTATCTTTTTCGTGTGCGAATGCGAAAGAAGGCGTCAATTTGTCTATAGGTTTCTCTGTCTACGCTCCCATGAAGGTTAGAGAACAGGAGAACGAACACTACGTACTAGAGCATAGCCCGCCTGTCCTAGAAAATTGTAGAATGTATAGCAGCGCTGACGTCGGTGGGTAGTAACTGCGAAGTTAGCTGTTTATGAGTACAAGTAGATGAAGTTAGTTGAATAATGATGTGATGCGATTTTGTGAATTAAATGTCTGCGCGTGTAAACTATTAGAGAAAACGACGAAACAAGTGCTTTGAGCCTCAAGTTATTTTTGCTAGGGCGCCTTATAAACTTAACTGTCGTCATCAACTGTCCGCTTGGTTGAGCTGTCGTCAAAATTTCCCAAGGGCTTCTCAATGTTACGCAATACCATATTGTGAAGAAAAAGTATATAAAAATTAAGATTCCGAAATAATAGTCTCAGAAGGGCTAGAACCCAGAGCAGTAAAGCCAATTATGGTTTTAAATTAGACGGTTATAAACACAAACTAATAAGAACTGACTAGAAGTGCTTAGAAGCTAATAAGAGTACTAACGTAGATAAATTAAATCTAGTATTTTGGAATTATATAGAAGCCATTACAAAAATACAAAATATAATGTCTTGCAAAATGCAAGTATTAGTGAGACTTAGACCATTAAATAAAAGTGAAATAAATAAAAAAAGTGAAACTGTAGTAGATGTAATTGACGAAAAAATGCTGCTTTTCGATCCTAAAAAAGAGATGCCACCTTTTTTTTACCAACGTTTTGAACAGCAACAATTCATGAAGAGAGAAAATAAGGAACTCAAATTTGTCTTCGACCGTGTTTACGGTGAAAATTCAACTAATAAGGATGTTTTTGAAACTACAAGTAAAGAAATACTTGCCTCTATAATGAGTGGATATAATTCCACTATATTTGTTTATGGTGCAACGGGGGCAGGGAAAACTTTTACCATGTTCGGAAACGATGAGCAACCTGGAGTTATTCGCTTAAGTATGGAGAAACTATTTTATGCTTTTAATGTCCATGAAGAAAAAACAAAATTTGATATTGGAATGTCTTATTTAGAAGTAAGTATATCTTATTATTGTTTATGGGGTATCAATATAGATTTCCTTTTAGGGAAAAGTACAATCAAAAAAAACCTTACCCTAGATTTTTTTTGATTGTACTTTCCCCTAAAAGGGGGAAGTGCTGGAAACCCCCTTTTTTAAAGGAATTTTTTTCTTTTTATATTATTTCAAAAATATAAAATATTGCTCAATTACATTTTTAGGTCTATGAAGAAAATGTGTATGACTTGTTAAAACCGTCAAAGACTCCACTACAACTGCAGGAAGATGCCAAATACGGAGTCAAAGTCGCAGGGCTAACTATACACATTGTTAAATCTGTTGGAGATATTTTAAACATGCTAGACAATGGCAACAAAAATAGAACACAGCATCCCACTGATGCAAATGCCAATAGTTCCAGAAGTCACGCTGTTTTTCAGGTATTTATTTCTTTATATAGAACTTTCCAAAATTGCTCCAATTAATGTGTCTCAAAAGATCTGCCAATACTCACTCTTTGTTTGCACTGACAAAACTATTGATGTGTGTTTGATACATATATTATTATATTAAAAAATTATAACATATTAGTGATTCCTTTTCATCTTCTTCATCGGCCGTCAAAAGGGTATTTCTTTAGTAATCTGCCGCACGAATTTATGGTCGCCGAGTTGGGGTAGGAATCTCCCCCTAAAAGAATTAGGTGCTGGAAACCCCCCATTTTTTATGATTTTTTTTGTAATCTGCCGCATGAATATATGGTCGCCGAGTGGGGTGGGTACTGGGATAGGAACCTCCCCTTAAAAGGGGGAAGTGCTGGAAAATCCCCTTTTTTTTGTAAAATCATAACCTCACTTTTTTATAAAGGAATATTGACGCAGTTACTTCTGCAACGGCTTCGGCACTGTGGGAAGTGTAGCCCCTTCGCCCTTGCGTAGCAAATCATAGGCACCCATGCTCGCCTCCGCAGCCTCAGCTTACTTGTCGCCTTCGGCGACTCAACCGCTACGGCTTGCCTTAGGTGCCTGCGATTTGCTACAGCGGGCGGGGGCTGCTCTCCCTCCATGCCCATGGCTTTACAAAAACACTCTTATGGGTAGGGCAGACAAGACTACGTGGAGTCGGGGTGTGCTAATTCGGTTTCAGAACCGATTCGACCAATTTTATCTGTAAAGTCTAGTTGCTCTTAACTCTGCTACTAGAGTGGTAAATGAAATAATGTAATGTGAATTGTTATAATTTTGTTTTCTGAAAAACCTCTGGACTGCTCTGCACTGCAACTCAATTTGTTGTATATAAGTCCCATCTCCAGCCACAAATGGATTGTCTGGGTCTGAGTGATTAACTTTTTTATTATGATGGATGATTAATAATAAATTATCATTTCCCTCATTAAAATACATTAAAACTTATTCCGCATTTAATCCTGGCAGGGTCGCCATGTAATATAGGAAAGATGTCAATGAAGAAGAAGTGTGGTTGGTACTAAAACTTTAATTAGACTGCCTCATTATTCTACCTTAACACTAAAGTATATTAACGTGGGCTACAATACATCTCCCACCGACAAAAGAATAAAAAATATGCTATCTATATTTTTTTATCAATTCCTAAAATAGATCCTTAAGATTATTATAAAAAAAGGGCAGAACAACGTCTGCATGGCAAGCTAGTATGTTATTATTATATATTATAGTATTCTCTTACTCCTCATGTTCTTTTACATTTCAATATTTTATTTTATTCTTTTTTTGTCATATATTTACTTCATCCTTAGTTAACCATTACTTATTTATTTTCCTATTTTATCCATAACTAGTACTTTAGCTACTCATTATATATGTATGTCTTTTCTTTCACATACACGGCTCGCGTACATACATGATCAAGAAAATGACCGATATCATTTTATTCACTTCTTTACATTTCAGCTCACGTAATTCCTTATTTAATTGTACAATAACTTTCACGTACATACATGATTAAGAAAATTGAAAATATTCCTATATAATTCATGATAAATTATCATTTCCCTCATCAAAAATACATTAAAACTTATTCCGCATTTAATCGTGTCCGAACAATCTTAAAAAATTTATCGGCTATTAGGTTTTCCAAACTCTCAGCTGATCAGGCTGATTGTATGTGGATATACTAACCTCCGATAATTTTCTTTATCTTACTCTCGCAACTATACATTATAAATATTTTCATTTATAATTATGTATTCCGTAACTTAACCATACATTTAATCACATCTTATACTTTATATCATAAAATAATCTCGTATAATATTTAGTTACAGTGTCAGTCAGAGATTGAGGTTCACAATATGGGAAAAACAAACTTTAAATCAATTAGTTGTGTAAAACATTATATATGTAGTGAGTTTCAAAAACGTATTATCCGTAGAAAATACTTTCATAATCTACTCAAATTAGTACTGTTTTCCAAGAAAATAATAAATTATATTAGTAAAAAGCTTATGATTTAAATATTCAAACAATATAAAACCGAAAATAAATTATTACATTTCACATTAAGATAAACAGAACAAAGAAGTCAAAGTTAAGCAACGTAATAATTATAATTAAAATAGCAACACACAGATCAAAATACAAATTGTAATCCTAACACCGCAAATAATTGGAGACAAGTTTGTTTTAAATTCCGAAGTACGTATAAGGCATTGTTCGTAATTACATCGGAGTAGGATGACACGGTGTAATTCACGCCTAATTTTAAGATACCTTTACAATATTTTATAATATGAATGCAAGTAAAATGTACCTTAATTTACACAGAAGTTTAGAAATAGTTACGATGTTAATATTTATGTTACTTTTACATACATCACAAAATGCATTAGCAATTTTTAAAAAAAATATACTAATGCTATAAAATATGCTTTTTTAAAAAAAATCACTATAACAGCTATAAACTTCACACAACGATATATTAATTTATTTAAATATTATAAAGAATAATTTTTAATATTTTAGGTAGGTTATCATATAAATTAATGATTTAATGCCTTTAGAAAAGAAAAAAAGAAAACAATAATAGCAAATCGGTTATAACTCTTTTAAAAATTGTGTACATTTAAATAAAATTTACTACATAAAAAACACACACGAAATGTATCATCAGTGATATGTTAACTACAAAATATGAAAAATTAATTAATGATAAACAATTGTAAATGTAAATACGTAAAAATGTAATCTTCATATTATTTCATTCATGTTTTGCAGGACACTGTAATAAAAATAATATAAAACTATAACTGAATTAAATTGAATATAAAATCAAGTGCTAGATTATTGATTAATTTATAATTATTGCATTGTGCTTATTTTTTCAGTAATATAAATATTTTAAAAAAACAATTAAATCGTGAATTATCTGATAAATACTTTCAATTTAATCATATTTTAAATACACAAAATTTTATGCTAATTTTTTTAAAGTAAAAACAACATTAAAAAATCTCAAATTATTAAAGTTTTAAATGGAATTAAAAATCACACAGGTGCGAATTTACCTCTCAAATTCTTCTTTATTCTCTTCGGCTCAATTTTCACATCCTTCTGGGTGATGCCCACTAGAATACAACTACTTCTTTCCCTTTTCAATCGTGGAACGAATATCTAGCATGTTATTGATATTTGGTTTGTGATTGCGTGTCCAATGGGCTTTCCACCTATCACTTGTTTCACAAATTCCCAGTTATACCTATATTTTTGGGCTAAGCGGTGTCCGAGTGCCTTGACGTAATATATGTAATGTCCTCCAGACCGAATTTCAGTCACAGCGGCTTATTTATTATTGTCAAATCCGGTATTGCATCCATTCTGTAAATATTTTTTTTATCTTCATTATTTAATTAGGTTTTTTTTTCTTCCTACCTTTTAACTTGGCCCGGCGGTGCGCATGCATTGTTGCAGCGCACTGCCTGGCAGGGTCGCCATGTAATATAGGAAAGGTGTCAATGAAGGAGACGTGTGGTTGGTACTAAAACTTTAATTAGATTGCCTCATTATTCTACCTTAACACTAAATTATATTAACGTGGGAGCACTACACTATAGTTCACACAATGTTCGGTTCGCAAAGCACTCCTCTCCCTGGGCATCCACAAGTCGAGTGGGCCTGACGGAATCCCCCCAATTGTGCTGAGGACGTGTGATCCAGAGTTGGCACCGGTTTTAACACGTCTTTAGGCATAGTCTTAAAATCATGGAAAATGGCTTTCGTCCACCCGATCCCTAAAAAAGGCGACCGCTCAGACCCGTCCAACTAACGGCCTATCGCCATCACCTCCTTGTTCTCCAAAACAATGGAGTCCATTGTAAACTGCCAGATCATGAGGTACCTTGAGGTTCACCAGCTGATTAGTGATCGCCAATACGGTTTTCGCCGTGGTCGATCAGCTGGTGATCTTCTGGTCTACCTAACTCATAGATGGGCGCAGGCAGTAGAGTCCAAGGGGGAGGCATTGGCCGTTAGTTTGGACATTGCGAAGGCCTTCGATCGGGTTTGGCACAAAGTAGTCAAGTTGCAGGAGCTGCCGAGAGCTTTTTAAAAACTAATTAAAACTGCGTGTTCACAGAGTGAGATGTGAATTTATTCTGTCCATTGTCTTTTTACAATTCTTAATCCTAAGCTTACAGTCTACTTAAATTACTACATACTCAGCGTTTATGTATTTATGCTGATGGACGCTTTATACGTATTATGGGTGGTGCTGGTGTAACCATAACTCCTCCCTCCTGAACTGCAAAGTTATCGGCAAGATTTGGATTCCGATGACTTTGCATACAGTGTAAGAGCTTAGACTTATTTTTCCAAATTACAATAATAAGACTAATTAAAATTAATATAACATAGAGTAGTAGTAGTAGCTAAACTAACACTTTTCTTATTCACTAAGATTTCACTTTCACTTTCCACTATTTCACTTTTCAGTTTGTACGAGAGATATTTTAGTTCATCCAAATTAACGCGATTTAAATTCACTGTTTTCTCCGCATTTGTGGGCTGCTCTATCAATTTAGGTAAAGTTAAAATAGGTGTCACCTTATATTGCAGTTTTCCTGAATACTATCGTTTCCGGTGTAATTTAATATTGCCTAATTTTATCTCACAGTTTTCATCGATTTCCAAGAGGTAAGTGCCCTTTAGAGCATTTCTTTGAGTGTCATCGCCACACGTTTTTGTATTTTATATAGCACTATTTCATTTTGTGTCAATAGGATCCAGTTAATAGGACCAATAGATCTTATCTTAACACTTTCCAGCTCTACTATTGATAGTTTACAAAGGCTTAGATTTGATGCGAAGTTCATAAGTTGTTCTATGCATGTGTTTTCAGGATACTGCACGATATTATTTTCCTCACACAGGAACTGGTTTGCTGCTATCTCCTGACATGGGCCATT